GAGAGAGGAGGGGGGAGGGAGAGAGAGAGGGGGGAGGGTTGACTTGGAGGTCAGAACCTTTGGCCATCCGCATATCTGGCTGGACTTTCTCACTTTCTCAAAGTAGAGAGGCAAGAAAGGAGAGGGAGGGAGGATGAGAGAGAGGAGGGAGAGAGGGCTCAAGATGGGGAGAGGAGTGATAAGTTTTGAACATTTGTTTTGTTCATCCTTTACTCTTTTTTGATTGGCTGGCCATGTAGATAGATGTGACTCGACCAATCTGCAAATCTGTCTAGTCTCTCTTCCATCTTTTCTTTACAGATTACTCTCTAGTAACACCTCTAATCTTCAGCACTTACATGACCTATTTGTGTTGCAAATGCCGTAAAACTCTCACTAAAACTAAAACCAAGTGATCAGAGGTTTGTTGTTCTGTGACAGGCACACACCATGTACCAAGTGGGTCTCGTGGAGTCAGACCCCCACATAGAATATTTCTGGGCTGCCCTTGAGTCTTTCAGTCAGGAGGAATTGGCGAGGTGAGTTTTGCTCTTACTGTGGGTTTGTGTGTGTACGTGTGTTTGTGTTCATGTGTGTATATGCCTCGTAAAGTCTTTCAAGTATAAGGAATAACAAGGTGCTGTAAAGTTTTATGGAACTTGTGCATAAGAGTGTGTGTTTCACAACTGTCTTAAAAACAATTGGCTTCCGGTCAAAGAACTCTGCAATGCATTGTCTCTCCCCCCCCCCCCTGAAATCATCAATAAAGGTTCATTTCTCTTGTATGCTCTCGAAAACATGTGATAATCAGTATTGTCTTGGTCTTTTCCCGTCACCCATTTGTCCAAGTTCTCTAGGTAAACTACTTAACGGTCTCTGTGTTGATTCCAATGACCTAGGAAGTGCATTTGTGGGTGGTTGGCGGACGCTGTGGTGCAGTTTTCTTCTTCATTCGTATCAAGCATCTATCACCATTATCTCTCCTTTTTTGTGTTTGTTGCTCCCTTGTAACATCCCTAATCTTTGGCACTTAAACGACCTTATTGTGTTGCAAGTGCCGTAAAAGGCTTACATCAGCAAAGTGCATTTATTTGTTCCTAATTCTTTTTGAGATCACTCTCCATCTTGTGCTGACTTGTTTCAGCATCTCCTTTTCCTTCCATTTCCTCTGTCTCCCAAGTCAGCCACATTTCTGCTTCTTTTTCCTCAAACTAATTGTGGCGGGTTGTTGGAGTGGTTTGTGGTTGGCTCCTTTTTATCTATCAAACATCTATTGTCCTTATCTCTAGTCCTTCTTTTTTTGTGTGTTTGTTGCTCTCTTGAAATACCTCATAGTCTTCGGCACTTAAGTGACCATATTTTGTTGCAAGAGCTGTAAAACTCTGTGCTGTAGTCTCTCTCTCTCTCTCTCTCTCTCTCTCTCTCTCTCTCTCTCTCTCTCTCTCTCTCTCTCTCTCTCTCTCATATATATATATATGTATTATTAACTAATCCTGACACTCTCTATCTTTCCCATTCCCCACCGCAAGGTTTATCAAGTTTGCGTGTAACCAGGAGAGAATCCCACAGACGTGTCCGTGCATGGAGGGAGGTCCCGACTCGGCCCACGTCCCGCCTTACCCCATGAAGATTGCCCCTCCTGATGGCTCCGGTGAGTGCTGTAGCCTCTCTCTATCGATCTCTCTCTCTATCTTTCTCTCTTTCTCTCTCCCCCCTCTCCCTTCTTTATTAATGTGTCCATTTCTCCTCTTATTTATGGTCATTTTTAAGGACCAGCGGGGTAACCCAGATTTCAGGGGTTTCCAGTTAGAGAAATCTTGACCCACACCAAAAGTGGGCATTGCCCTACTTATAGGAGAAGTTTGGTTTCATTGGTGTGTATATTTGTTTGGTTATAGAGAAAAGTCTCCTTGTCTTTTAAAAAAACTGAACAAGGGGCTAAAACTTTACCTTCGATTTTCTCAAAACAGCATTGTTCGAGATAGTCCGTGTGTGCTTAAAAGCAACCTTATATTGTTTTGTATCTCTCTTTCCTCTCTTAAATATACTGTTAAGTCCCTTTTTCCTTTTTTATATATTATAATATCTCTCTCCTCTGATATCGTCAGCACGCTGTTCAAACGTTCGAAGCCCAAAAAGTAACATTTTTCAGTAAAGAGAAAAAATACAAACCTGTTTCATTCTTTTAGAAATTTTACCTACATTATATATTCTTTTTTTTGGGTGCTTTTTTCAACATTTATAATGAGTGAATTTGACAAAATATTTCCTAAGCACGTACAACTGATACCACTGACAAAGAGACTGCAATTTGAAAAATGTAATGTATTTAGTTCTTTGAAAAAGCGAGACACAGATTTAAACAGAAATGAAAGAGGAAAAGGAAAGAAATAGGACCTACGCAATCAATTACATTTTAGAGAGAGAGAGAGAATCAAAGAAAAAAAAACGACCCTAAAAGCTTTGTTTTACAAAACAAAGAGAGGTGCAAAAAAAGAGAGAGACTAGAAGAAATAAAAACTTTCCAAAAATAAATTGGAAAAGTGAGAGACAAAGAAATTTAAAAAAAACACCCCTCAAAAGTACAAGAGAAACTATTTTTTACTCATTCCTCCCTGCAGGTTTGCCGGACGGGCGCTACATCCGTGTGGAGACGTGCATGTTTATGGTGAAGCTGCCGCAGTACTCCAGCCAGGAAGTGATGCTGCAGAGACTGCGCTACGCCATAAACTGTCGCGAGGACCCACTCAGCGGATAGATTGTTCATGACCCACCTGTGGGACGGGGATCATAGACCTACCAGGTGCTCTGATAAAGTTTTGATGGGTTGTTGGGGTTTTTTTTTCATCAAAGAACTCCAATCAGATTTCTACATGAATAGCTTACGTGATTAAATTTTTAGGTGATGGAATGATATATGTACCAGCAATCATTGTCAAGTTCTAAAGGATTTTTTACAGATGGAAGCATTACAAGACATTATCATCGTTCCACGAAGGCTAAAGTTGAAGTTTTCTGAAAAGTGAAGAAAAAGAGAGTGCCCAAATGTTCGGTAAAGAAATGCTAGGAAGGAAATTGTGGAACAGGCTGAAACTAAATCTCGCGTGAGATCTTTATTCTAGTAACATATTTATCTTGATACCCATAGAAATTATTAGGGGCAATTGTAGGACCATGCTGATGATACATACTCCAGGATAGTTTTCAAGGTCTTTATGGGAACAATTCCTAGAGAAAGAAGGAAGTAGCACTTGTGCTACCACCATTGCAGCTTTACAAATGTTGTGCAAAAACCGGCAGAGTTACTTTTGTACAGTGGAATGAAAAAGTGAAGGGAATGTGTATTGTCAGTGACAAGACTGGGGTAATAATATCCTGTGGAGAATGAGAGAGAAAGAGAGACCATTGAAGAAGACAGAAAGAGAAACCATTGATGCTGATGCTTGGATTGTTTTTGGTAATAAAGGTCTGCATTTGACCTGTCTTTGACCTAACCTTAAATGGAAGTAGTAGTTCGGGACTGAATGCGTGAGGCCTGTTGCGACATTTATAGGGATGTGTTTCATTCATTGCTCTTGTAAATTATTCCTCTTTTTAAATTTTTAGCTCCTCATAAATATTGTACATGATAAAGGAAAGTCAGCGCTGGAATAAATGTCTTTTTATTGTTGCTTGTGGGTTGCTTTCAATGACTAGCAATGAGGCTGAACCCACACAATGAATTATTGAATGATTTGTCTGTACAGATCTCTACAGGTGTTTTATATATATATATATATATATATATATATATATATATATAAATATATATAGGAGAATTTGGCTTGTTGTGTCTTGCTGCAGGGGGAAATGTGGCACAAAGATATGCAGAGAAAGTTGCTTAAAGATAACCTTTAATAATAAATTATTACGTTAGTGTGTGCTTTGACATTTTTATTTGGTTGAAAATTTGTCTTTCACATTGAGCAAGCCTGCTTGTCTCCTCCCTTTGAAAATGTTGTTGCTAACGTGATTGGATTAGCACGCGACAGTATGTCTATGTTCAACCTTCTCAGAAATTTGACTTTTTACGATGATGATTTTTTTAAATTTCAAGTTTTGTGGCAAAAATGTATGTGGATGTGACTAATGGTGAAATAAGATTGTGTGGAGGAGTGACAGGTTTTTTGGGGGTTTTTTGTGACAAATTTTGCAAACATGTCGAGTGAATAGTTTTGAAGAGAATGACAAAATGGTTCCAGCTGCTACAACTGTCAATCAAAGGAAACCGAAATGATTAAATCAAATTGATTGTCTTAATTTTGTGTATTTATTTGTCTTTGACTGAGGGTGGCTGGTGGCTGCGCTCGCTACAGCTGGCTAGTTGTTGACCTATTGACCTATGTTGTGGATGGGGTGGGAACTTTGTATTGTGCCCCAGGCCGCTTCCACAACTCCTAGGTTTTGTAACAAGGAAAGATAGCTCGATTTTTTTTCTCCACTTTATATCTTACTCAAATAATGATATTGTTATTAAGTAATAAATATTTGTATTAGTACACAGTGAATGGTTCATATTGAGATTGCTACCGATGTAGTTTTTTCTAGTTTTCTCCTTTCTCTGTTTGCCACTTGTAGAGTTCTCTCACTCCCTGCTGAGTGAACGGGAGGAGGGGCAGCTTTTATTTGTTGGTTTATCTGTTTATTTGTTTAAGTAAGTAGAAGCACACGGACAGAGTAACAAGTAAATCATTTAGCGCTGGGGTGAAGTATGACAGACGGACATGCAGTGTCAAATGAAAACCTGCCTCCTAAATGATCTAAATTGTGTTGTTTGGGGCATAAAAACTCTTACATTTTAAGATTGTTATGTGGAGCTGGAGCGGTGGTTATTCAATCTTTTTAAGAATCTTATTTCCCCTCACTTTTGTGAGCATGTTGTATGTATGAAGCCAGTGGAAATCAATAAAGTTTGACAGCTGCTAAGGCTGAGGAAGACAGCAACTTTTTCTTCTGAGTTTGGTGCTTGTTGTCGTTCAGACATTTTTAAAAGGGGATTGTGGAAACGAAAAAATAATTTACTCATTTGCTCAGATTTTTTTGTTTTTGTTTTTTCCGTGCCTGCTGAAATTATGTTATGGTCATTGAGTCTGCTCATTTGCTTTTGATATGTCGTATCTGAATAGGCGATTATTAAATCAACTTTTGTCATCTTTTTATATTATTTAATATTATGCTCCTTTTAAGAAAAAGACATCGCAGGTGAAAGGGTGAATTGCTTTTTTTGTTTCTTGACTGTAGCTTTTTATAGACAGTGTTTGTATTCACTTTTCAATTATTCTCATATCTGGAACACTACAACTGTATCTGGTATTGTGATTCTGGTGTCAGTCTTTAGATTAGAACTGTGTCACCCTTCGGTTTTTTAAATATACATTTTGGTGAGCTCATATTTCTTGCCATTTTTGTTCAATACCCAGTTAACATTTATGAATAGTAACCCTTATTCTTGATGTAATTACTTACCAACGGGGTTGTGTTATAACTAGAACTGATTTCTTAAAAACATTTATATCAGCAAAAATAATGACGCTCCCTCCTTGTAACTACTTTTACCCCTCCCCCCCGAGCGGTACTACTGACTGAAGTGTCTTTAGGCCATTCCCAAAGGCGAGACATTAACCATGTTCTTATGCATAGTAGAATTGTAATTGTAAATGGGCTGATTCATCAATGTCATGCTCATAACTGTCCCTGAACTGCAACGGGGAACTGCTGCCTTTTCTTTCCTAATCCTTACTATCGTCAATTTTCCTCTACTTCTTTTGTATGTTTGTCACACTCTTGTGACCCGCTATTTCCGGGGTGCCTTGATAGTTGAAACAGACTTTGTGCTGTTGAAGCTAGAGAGGTGAGCAGAGTAAGCCTGATTCCCTGTAAGGACTTGTCTGTTGACATCCACCATTTGGCGCTCATATGACCTTATGCAGTTGCGAGTGCCGTAAAACCTCAACTAAAACTAAAAGAAAGTAACTACTTTTGAAAGGTCTTTGGATTTTCCCCAGTTTTGCCAGGTGTTTAGTTCAGTGAGGTTGCTCAAAGAGACAAAAAATTGGGGATTTTATTTCCTTTCACTTTACGACTTTTTACGGATTAGTCTCGTTCCATTTAAGCTGACTTCACTGTTCCGAATTTTAGATGTTTATTTTTGTCCAGAGGATGGTTGTTTATCGAGAAGAACTCGCAGAAAATCATCAGCAACCATTTTCTAAAACTCTCTTAATTTATATAGTGTTTTTCAGTCCCCAGTATGTCACGATATGAAAAGTTGAACATTACCATGATGTACCAGATACGTCATTGTGGATTTGACGGGGTTAACAAAAAAGAGTGGACCTATTTCTTCCAGTTCTACTGTTAAAACATAAGCACAATCAAATTGGTTTGTAGTGGTTTTCTCTTGTTTAGCACGTACTGAGTGCTGAATTCATTTCCCTATCACATATTCAGTGCTGAATTCATTTCCCCAGCACATACTGAGTGCTGAATTCATTTCCCTATCACATATTCAGTGCTGAATTCATTTCCCCCGCTCATACTGAGTGCTGAATTCATTTCCCTATCACATATTCAGTGCTGAATTCATTTCCCTAGCACATACTGAGTGCTGAATTCATTTCCCTATCACATATTCAGTGCTGAATTCATTTCCCCCGCACATACTGAGTACTGAATTCATTTCCCCAGCAGGTACTGAGTCCTGCATTCATTTCCCTCAGGCTGTTGTGGCTGGTGAAACTTGTTTGTTACCACGTGCTGCACTTCCCTCTCTCCAGTTGATGTTGTGGTTATTTCATAATTTGCTCATTTGTCTCAAACGTTTGTTTGATTTTTATATTATTACCGCACCAAAAGCTGTAAAGTTTGGCAGTGAATGTGTAAGTATGTGTGTGTGTGCGTGTGTATGTGTGTGTGTGTGTGTTATGGTATTGTGTAGTGATAGCTTTGCTGATCATTCAGCGCATACATCATGTACACAGAATAAAAGACGTGTAATCTATCTACATCATGTGTGATGTAAAGTTAGTTGGCCTCACCCTTTAAATGACCATATTGTGTCGATAGCTCTTTAAAACACATACTCTAACTGAGCAGAGCATTCTACTAGCCAAGGACTGAATCCACTTCTTATTTATTAATGGTTCAACTCTTTCTCTGCAGTGGTATTTGAGTGGTCGAAACATTAAAAATTTTCTTACTCTTTTAGACCTTGTCACTATTTTTTTTTCTAAGTAGACGTAGGCGATGACTTGTGATCTGAACAGGGTTTGTTTAATGCTCACATTACAATACAATGTTTGTTATTACACACCTTGATGATGTACGAAATGTTGGTACCCAGTATTTCACTCGTTAAGTTTTTAACTGCCAGCGTGTGTTATGTAGTGGTTAAGTGTTTTACTGTCACATGTATGAGATTCGAATTCAATTCTCAGGTGGAACAAAATTTTTATCAAGTGTCTCAGTCTTTCTACTGGGATGTTGTGTCTCTCTTGGCTGGCCTTATAAATTGTGTCAATGGGGCCATAAAAATGCCTATGTTAAATTAAAACAATTTAACTCGTTAGATTTTTAAATTTTGGCTAAAGATGGTCCTGACGACGCCCTGAGGTTTATATAGTCATTTTGTCACCATCTTTTGGACGACTAGATCCTTAACGTGTTGTTCCAATGGGTTCCTGGTAAAATGTAGCCATGATCATGCACACTTTACCGATGTCTGTGGTGGAATGGTCAGGCTCTTTGCCATTGCATGCAGAACATGCAATTTCAAATCCCACATGGGAAAGATTTTTATTGGGTACGTATATCTGTCTGTCAGTCAGCTAGGATGTTGTATCCCTCTCCTCCTGGAAAGGCCTGGACATGCAAGGTTGAAGTAGCCAGCCTCGTATTCCTATCTTTTGTATTGTTTGTAGCTCAAAACATTGACAAGCAGGTGGTTGGTGGGTGCTCTGGTACGCTTTGCTCCTTCTTAGCCATCAAACATCTATTATCCTGATCTCTCCTCCTGGTTAATGTTTTTTTACTCTCTTGTAACACCTCTAATCTTCGGCATGTATGTGACCTTATTGTGTTGCAAGTGCTGTTAAACTCTTTATTAAAACTAAACTAAAAATCATTGACCTTTTTTTTGGAAAAGCTCACTTGCTTTAAACATCTCTTTAAGGTGAGCAGGGGATTGAGTATCTGTAAAAAGAAAGGTCAATGGACACTCTTTTCTTTCTTGCTTTCTAGAAAACTGTCTGTGCTTTTGTTCCTGTAGAGAATATGTTTGGGGCTATTTCTTCGTAAACCCTGTATTGTACTGTAATTTTTCTAGCTAAAGCTCCGAAATTATTGCGAGTTTTGCGTGCATCTTTGTCCGTGTTTG